AAAAAAAAGGTTTTCTGAATTCAAGTGTTCGATCCAGGATTGGCAATGGAGCCTGGGTTGTGTCCAATTCCTACTGAGCCCACTGGACCAACAGAAACTGGACCTCCAACTGATCCCGGCATGTAGCCAACTGAAGCCGGCATTCCAGCAACATTCGCTGACGATACCCTATGAAAATCGTATTTTTTGCCGATAATGCCGTTAACAGGAATTCTGAAGATCTTACTTGTCAAGACATTGCCGAATGGCAGGCCAAAGTGGACATTCTCCAGTTCTTGCGGCTTCTTGTGAACATGCCAACATCACAGATGACATCGATTCATCCTCAGTACCATGTTGTTTCACGGTATTGCTGTGATTAAACTATGAAAAACTATTTACGATAAAGAAAGAAAGAAGAGACTTACGTTTGCATGTTGTAAATAATTCGCAAGAGATGCTTCTCATTACTTTTTGGTGACGTTATACGACTTGGTCGGAAACAGATCTAAACACCACGTCTTCGCCACTTTATATAATGTTCAGCGAACATCCTGTGACAGTGCGAGATAAGGTGATGATATTCTTACCAGTACCAAAACATTAATTGTATTTCCATCATAAACAGTTCCAATTTGATACCGTCGAGCACTTGCATTGCTTTGATCCCTTGCCAAACAAACCAACTGGATCGACACATTCCAGTATGTTGACGGTGAGGGATCCTGGATTGCAAATGCTACGATTATGCCGAGCATACTGATTCTCTGTTCAACTAACCATCTGAGCATTCATCAATTGCGCCACGCTCGAAATTGCTCCGTTAGCAACCATTCGGCATAGGTTAATGAACGAAAAAACAGCAAGCTCGTTGTTAAGGCGGCTAACGACATGTTCAAAGTATCGTTCAAGGATCATTAGGTCGCTTGGTGGTGGAGGATTTTTACCTGAGATGCCTCTACTTACAAACGTTCACGCGAATCACACTGCTGAACTATCTATGTGACTAAAGCTATAATATTGAGTAAAATTGAGGTCAAAGACATTCAGGGCCCTGAAATCGTCTCATCCCCTACAAAAAAAA